AGTTCTCTTTTCACCTCTGCTAAAGCCTGGCTAGGTGGGAGCCCAGGCCTCTAGCGAGTGTCTTGCAGTCCTGAATTAGCATAGGATGCTTTTCCTCCGTTATTTCTCTCCTTCTCCAGAGAGTGTGTCCATGAAAAGAGAGACAGCCCCGTTCCTCCCTAGGAGAAGTCTTTCCAAGGATTTGGGGAACAGAATTTGAAGTCATGTCACCAAAAGGAGGAGAGAATTTGCATTGTGGCCTCTATCTCAAGGCAACGGGCTTTACCGCGAGGGAGCCCTTGGTAAAGCCGGAGGTGGTCGTGCTGCTCCTGAGTGTGTTCGGCTTATCTGAGTGGAGTCACTGACTTCCAGCACTTTTCCTCCCCAGTCCTGATCCTTCTGATCAGCTTTGCAATGGCCTGTAACGCAGAGATGAAGTCCATTTTTACATGCTTGGTTGGAGTGGGGAAATATAACCCGAATGTGGGGTGGGGAAATATAATCCTGGGGAGGTCTGCTGCTTAAATTGTAAACCACGTGTCCAAAAGGGCCGGTCCAAACCTATGGCATGTAACCCAGACGGGTTCATGTCAAGCACCTAACCTCTGCCTGCCAACGGGATGCGCGACTTTGCTCTGCCGCAGGAACGGCACGGCTAAGCCGTCGCTCGAGCAGGAATCAGTGCGTATTTCCTGCCAGCATCTTTAAATATTGGCTGGCTTTAAACATGCCTCTTTTCTCAGGGCCTTTATCTCATCACATGCCCACAACGTCCTTCAGGAGTCACTATGCACATCAGGCTGGTCTCGCTGCTAGGGGAAGCGTTTGCACTGTGGCCCCGATACCGCAGGCTTGTCTGTGTGGGCAGATGCCCGTTCCTGAGCAGAGCTGTGCAGCCCGCCCTGGCTGTGCTGTCTGCAGGCTCACGGCCTAAAAGATGAATCAAAGCAGCTCAGCTGCCGAAGCCAAGACAAGGACATCCCTTACTGCTCACCAGAGGCTGGCATCCAAGCACTCCTCTTCTAGTGCAGATCTGCCAGCATCCCTGGGTTGGCGGCGAATTCCTGTTCTCCTGCCTGAGAGTCATCACAGAGCTCGCCGTGCTCCTGCTCAAGCACAGGACTCCTTCCTCTGACCTTGCTTTGCGATGTGACAACATGCATGTTACACACGTGTACACTCTTCCCATGAGGAGCCTTCCTCCAGGGAACAGGGAGCCTTACACGGACCGTGTCGGATGCTGTGGCTGGGATCCGGACTGTCCTGAAACCAATGCAAGCTTTGCCCTCTGCTTCAACAGGTTCTGATTTCACCCATGCCATAGCTTGCCAAGCCTGCCACAGCTACGGGGAAGGGCCCAGGGGTGCAATGGGATGCATCTGCATTTGCTGTGTCCATTGAAGGACACCGAGTAACCAAACCCCTTGCCACTCAGCAGGCCTGAATGTACCAGTGTAACCTACCCGGACGGTGGGAGGACACGCTCTGCAGCAGGCTGGACCCCACTGGGGACACGTGGTCACGTAGTCCCAAAATAACTGACTTAGTAAATAAGACCTCAGCAAGGAAAGTGCAATCAGAATCTGGCTTCCCCCCCCAGACCAGGCTGGACAACAAAAGTTTGGGCGAAAGGAGATTGTTTTGACCTTTGTTTCTAGACAAGCAGAGGTTTGGACTCAGCAACCATGGGCTTGCTTCTCCTCTGGCTGCAGTCCATGGGCTTCACGGGATGCAGGGATTGGGACCAGAGTGTAGGGATCCGTTACAAGTGGGAGAGGGGTCTTGTCACATGGGCTCCCCTGGCCCCGGCACATGGCGTGACATAGACCCCCTCCTCCAAGAGCATCCCCTGGGCTGTGCCCGGTTGTGCCCTCTGCTCCTGTTCCCTGTATCCCCTCTCTGAAAATGCCCAGGGCTTAGCATCTGCACGAGGATTTTCCCCCGAGAGGAATGACATGTGCATCCATCTAGTCACCTGCAATAACTTACTCCTAAGGGGGGCCGGGAAGGAAGTCGGACTCCCTGAGACTTCCCACGGCCAGTCTAGCGCCGAGCAATCCCTCTGGGGCTCCTCCATATAGCAAACCTCTGACGAAAGAGCCACACCGAGGCACTGACATGCATGCAAAAGCCCAACTGAAGACAGGCTTCACCTGCACTAGTCGCAGTTGCATCCACCGCAGCAGCCGGCGTATGGAAAGTGGATACGGCCCCGACAGAGGCACCGTTCAGGAAACTCCTCCCGCACATTGTTTCCGTGCGTGCCGCAGCGATTGCCAACCGTGCATTATTCTAATGAGACACCATCATATTCTATCAGCTCTCCGAGCTATAGATTGAAACCTCAGAGAGAAACAGTCTCACCCGCCATATGATCAATCTTGTCAAAACATGTTCGTTTAATTCCCTATAAATGAAAGGAAAGTGTGTTTAAAATGTCATCATTTGGGTCTATGAGAAGGATTCCTATAAATCAATCATTGCAGGTAAACTGTATTATTTAGCAGCCATTTGACAACAGACACGCTGAAAACATTTTTTTAAGCGGCGGGCGCATGCTTTCTGTTACACGATGCTCGTCGTCTTGTTTCGTTTCCCCTGTATCCTGCTAAGAAGCCACGACGCGGAGATCACACGCATGAGTGCGTGCAGGGAGGAAGGGGGTAGGCAGAGGCTACATGGGCTGAGAGAAATCCTCCGCTAAACCTGGACATGAATCCTCCCCTGCAACAGACACAGAAGCTGAATGGGGAAAAGTTTCCGCTTACTCATTTCCCAGGGAGTCCTGTCTCTTCAGTGGCTCTGGTGCTTTTGAGATAATAAGGTACCTGCTGTGCCTGGTCAGTGCTTAGCAAACCAGGGTCCCTGCCCATGACTAGGGTCCCTATGGGCTAGGGCATTCGTTCTCCACTTTTTGAGACTCGAGACACCGGTCGGGAAATGCCAGCTCTTTGTTTTCACTCATTTTTCGCCTACAGAAAAAGAATAGAGCAATTCTGCTGCAAAGAGTTCAGGAAGATCACAACAGGTTTGAATGGTTTTACTGCTGTGGATGCCTAGCTGAAATCTTTAGGTTGACGCGGCACCCTGGGCGGGAGGCACCGTGCCACGGTAAATGATGCTAGCAAACGGTATCTGAGCAGTGGATTCCTAGTTGAAATCTTTAGGTTTATCATATTTGCACACCCAGCAGAGCGGACAGTATGTGGCACCCCGCAGCACCCTTGAAAGGAGCTCAAGGCATGCCAGGTTGACATGGCACCCTGGGCGAGAGTCGCCGTGCCAAGGTAAATGATGCTAGCGAACGGCATCTGAGCCGTAGCTGCCTGGTCTGCACGTCTTTGCCTACACAGTCTCCAGCACTGCTACACAGGGGGTGCAGCTCTGCCCTCACTCGATGCCCGAGAGAAATGCCTCTGGTTTTTCCAAATGGAAATATAAGCCATGCTACTGTGGCGCAGTAGCTGTGATACTTAGCTAGGAGGGAGCACTGTGGAGCCAGGAGACAGAATTGACCGGCTTTCTCCATCGATCGGGCATTGATTTCTGTGTGGCCTTAGGCCAACTACATCAGCTTCCCAAACCTCAGGTTAACTCCCAGAGTGATCGATCTTTACCTAGGTCACCAGGATGGGGGAGGCTCGCAGCCTCGAGCTGCCTGGGTTCAAGAAGTGAAGTGTTGCATTAAAAACCTTACCTCTGAATGCCCCATCCTATCACCCCCACGATTGCTAAGCTCAGTGCGTCTCTCCTGCCAGGAGATGGTCCAAGCTCAGTCGGAGCACGTGGACGGATCCCGTCGAGTTCAATGAACTGGGCACAACCGAGAAAGCAAAGCAGGTGCCTGGAGAAACTCGGTGTTTATCCAGCAACTAGTTGCCTCCGGATCGCCGACTGGGCCTCTCTGAACTCAGAGAGACTCCCCCCCCCGGGGACACGTGTTTGGAGGGGCATTTTCTCTTTACACACCCACACACCCATTTAAAGAAAAGGCATTTGACAGATATGACAATGGACAGGGATTGGTCGGGTTCTTTATTGGTTCTGAAGGTGCTTCTACTTAAAACAATTTGTTAGGCGCTCTGTGATTTACTACTGTGCTGGAAAATGGGGCTGAGTATTGATTCTTTGCCTTTTCTATTGCAAATGGGTGTAATGTTTTATAGGATGTCAGAATAATAGCAGCGGGCACTTTATCAATGTCAAATGTTAAAAATGATCAGCTATTGTGATGTAGGAGATTAAATATGAAAGCTTGATGGGTATATAAAAGTGAAATGGCAATAATAAAGGGATTTTTATGTTCCGCTCCTTGCTCTCCTGAATCTACCTGGGGAGCTATTAGAACCAATTGTGCTGATCAGTGACATATCGCCATGGGTTAAAGGACTGGAAAGCACTGGGTTTTATTCCCCAAGTGGCTTTATTTGTTGCGGAGTTGATATGGGGGCTGGGACTGGGGTCCCACCCTTCCTACAGAAGGACGAGGTTTCGGCTGCTCAGAGCTGAGCAGTGCTTGATTTGGTCGTACCAGTTAAATGCCAACCCACCAGGGCACTCAAAGCTTACGAGCTTGGCAGCAGGCAGGCAGATGCTAGGGGTGACCTTTCCTGGAGAGAGGAATTTCCCTCCCTGCACCCTTGGACCCACAGGACACACCTGCAGCGGGACGGCCACCTCTTGCAGCTGCCCTTAGCACGGGCTGGAAAGGGCCAGCAGCAGCCATGCTGAGCACCTTGCAGGTGGAGGCTGCATAATTAGCTGATTGGGCTGAAGAGCAGGGAGAGCAACCCAAGCTACCCCCCTCCTTACAACCAGAGATGTCTGAACTCCACTTTGAGCTCTACAATTTGCAGGTGGAGCCTGTTTTCATAAGGAGCCAGACCAAAACCCTGGCTCAGAAACACACCGCCCTGCAAGTACTTGAAAACTGGGTCTACACCTTGCAGCCTGAGCACATCTTTTACAAAAGGAAACGTATTCCTGAAGCATTTAGCAACTAGATTGGAGAGGATGGGATATATTCAAGCAAGGCCCCAGTTTTGCAGGGGAAATAGAAAAGAGCTGCAGCACATGTGATGCTGGTCTGAGACTGCTCTGGGGCTGCCAGCACAGGGGGCTCAAATCTTGGGATCAACACTTTTCTCCCCTCACCTGCTTCGTGGCAGAAAATGAAGCAAGTTCCACCTTTTCACTAAAGCTTTTGTTTTTTGGCAGCACAACCTGGCAATACAGAAGTCTTTCTGCAGTTTGGAAGTCAGTGTCCTAGCACAAGAAACTGTTTTACTTTGAGTGGTCATCACAAAAGTGGATTTTTTACTGGTTTCTTTCATGTTGGTTTGTTGAAGACCTGAATTAATCTTATAAGAAATGTTTTTAAAAGTTTTCAGAGTTTCCCTTGAGACAAAAGGGCAGAGCCAGCCCCCAGGAGCATCTGCCAGGCTCTGGAGCTGGAGGGATGCTACCTCCTGGCATGGGGATTAAGAAGTGCTTTTGTGGGAAAATGTCTGTGTTCAGTAGGAGAAATGCTTCAGCCTTTTAAAGGCCCCATGCAAACCAAGCAGAGCATCCAGCTGCCCAAGCAGAAGGCAGGAGCTGAGCGGGCGATAGCAAGATCCCACCCAACCACCCAGGAATCAAAAGTAGGAGCCCACGGGCAGCACAGCTGCCTCTGCCCCTGTATCACCCTTTCCTCTGCCCTGCACCTGTCTTGTCTGCATTGCCTGCTCCTCTGCTCATGCAGTGCCTTGGGCAGTACTCTAATAAACAGAAAAGGATAATAATGTCCCCCCCTTGCCCCAGCCACAAAAGCCAGCCTTGCACCCATAACATCAACCCCCAGCCCTCCCGAGCACCATCTCTTTTACTGCAGGGGGAAGGGAGCTGATTGCTGGCCCTGATGGCAACCAGCTGTGGTCCTCCCTCTAGCCAAAAACCTGGTTAACCCCTTCCCTGCCAACAGATCCCTCTGACCCCTTGCAGATACTAATCATCTTTCTCTCCTGCCATCCTGGTCCCCCAGTGCCATCTCATGAGTCACTTAGAAACAGCAAGCAAAATTCAAGGTGAGTTGCTGTTTGGGCCCCTGCGACTCTCTGAGTGGGGGAAGCAGCTGCTGAAGCATGCCGTTTGGGGCAGGGGCGCTGGATTGCAGACAGGGGCAGCGGGATAAAGCTCGCACCGTGGGTACTGTCACAGACAAACTCCAAACAGCTGTCAAAGGCAATGCTGGGGGTAGGTTTTAAATGCTGATTCCTGCCTGAGTGACAGGCCGCGGTGCGGGAAGCGAAGTGCGGCGCCTGCCTTCTCAGCCCTCGAGTAGCGCGAGAGAGACATGACACTGGCACCCGCGTGTTCGCTCTCGACAGGAGATGATCCCAGAGGGCACCGCTCGCTGCACCCAGGAGGGAAGAGCCTGCCTCTGCCGCTATTTGATCCGTCCCCGGGGACCCTACAACTTTGGCTCCGACAGGTCTTACTGGGTTTTAAAAGAAAGAAAAACTTTCCAACTTGTTACTTACTTCTGTTAGTAATTGCACTAAAATCCTGGTGTAATTATTAACAGGGTAACTGTTAAAAAAAAAAAAAAAAAAAAGGCTGATAATTCTTGAAGTCTAGACTCTAATTATTTTTTTTAATTGTTGTGAGCAACAAAAAAATATACAGGTGGGACAAATGTTCTCCTAATTATCTAAAGACTTTCATAACTGGTGCTAATTAAAGCATTTCTGGGAGTCTGACAAATGTCTGGAACTACTCAAGTTAGAAGTTAGTTTTGACTTGGGTAATTCATTTAAAATTAGAACTGACTGGGGGAAAAAAACCCTCACTTCATTTTTTATTTATTTTTTTTTTAATTCAAGTAGATGGCAATAATTAATTTTGTATTCCTAATGGGAAGGCCCCTTCTGGGCATTTTGTGAACGGCGCCTTCATGTGTCATGGGCTGGTCAGAGCCGTGCTAATCTGCTCCGCAAAGGGCTTCCCCCAGGGCATCTTTTTGGGGGCCCTCGCAAGAGTCTGCTTTGCTTTTCTGGTCACTCTTGATTCAGTCTCACTGCAACTCTTCCCTCCCATGGCTTAGCTGTGCCACGCAGCACAGGGAACCCCACCAAGGGAAAAGCTGTTTCTGACTATAAGTGGACTCTTAGGAGATCTTCCTTTCTCTCTTTTACCCAGAGAGGTGGTGCAGTCTCCATCCTTGGAGGTTTTGAAGACCTGGCTGGACAAAGCCTTGGCTGGGATGATGGAGTTGGGCTTGGAGCAGGGGGTTGGACTAGATGCAACCTCCTGAGGTCCCTTCAACCCTCATTTTCTATATGATTCGTGCGATTTTGCCACACCTGGAAGTTTCAAACAGAAACACCCTCGAGTCTTTTGGCAAAAGGCAGGGCAGAGACTCGCTGCTTCGGAGAGGCAGAAGCTTTTGCAGGCAACAACCTACTTCATCGGAGGCTGGGATGGACGAGCTCCATTCACAGGCTGCTGGGATGCATTTGGCAGCCCCAGCTTTGTCCTGCACTACCTGCTCCTCTCCAGGCATTGCTCTTGCCTTCGTGTCAAGAAAGCTCCAAGTAGCGAGGAACTGGGCCCATGAACGCCACGCGGATGCCGGGTCGATGCCTGTACCGTACCGCAGATACCTCCACGCTAGCAAAACGCAGCAAACAGCACGGTCCCATAGGGAGGGACTCGGTCTCCCGATAAACCTTCCAGCTCTTGCTGCACTAAAGGTATTTGGGGCTGTATTTCTAGCAGGTTCCTCACTCAAAAATATTTTACACTGAAGAACACAGGGTTTTAAAAAGAAATGAAAGAGGATAAGTCTGACCTGGCTCCTGAAAGATCCCGAGCCAGATTCTGCTCCGATTTGCACTGCGGTGACCCCGCACCGCGCTGATCCCCAAGCAGGCTCGCAGAGGTGTCGGAGTCTGACCTGGTGCGATATCCAGAGCCGGGTGCAGGGGGAGAGATTTGATTTTTTTCTCTCTCTTTTTTTTTTTTTAAAAGAATGCAGAGAGGAATGTGCTGGGGGCTGAATACGGCACTTTAAGCTCCTCTTGCTGCAGAGGTTAACCAGGAAGCCTTGACAGGTATGCTAATACTGTGCTATTTAGTCTGTAGAAAGTGACATTAAACGGCCTTGGTTAAAGACATGGCTCAGTGTTTGAGCAATTTAATGAGGTGTTTCACATATAGCGACCTTGTAGGAAGTAGTGCGGCTTTCTGAATGCTTCTGCTTGCATTGGCCCTTCGATCTGACAGCTGGGCCTGCTACTCACCCAAGACTCATTACTGCTGCTGAGGGGCCCATCGCATCAAAAGCCAGCACGGGCTTGATTATAAAATCCGTGTCATCAGGGAAGGGGCTGTGCAGAAACGGCGCTGTCTTAATACCCAGCAGAGTTGGGAGGGGAGTCGCTTTCTCCATCCTGGAGGGGTTTTGGGGAAGTCAGAAATGTTTCCCATTCACCCTGGGCAAAGAGTGGAAACCCTGAAACTTTTCCTGATATGAGTCAGGTCCCCCCACACAGTCCATCATTTTGATATTTTTAAAGTTTAGACTTTTTTATTACGTTTTTGTTATAAATCCACTTACACTGAGAAAAGGAAAAGTCCTTTCAACCTGGAATTTAGTTTTTCCTGTGGAAAAAGCCACATTCTTCTGTTTCAACCACGTTTAACTATTTTATTTTTTCAGACAGATCCCAACCCCACACATCCCACCAGCAGCTTTGGTTTGGACAAACTCTAGCGTCTTCTGATATCACCAAAGACCATTGGAAACCTCTCGGCCAACTTTCCTTCTCAGCACATCTACTTCCCCTTACTGGCTTTATGGGAGGGCAGAGAGGATTTTTTTGCCCTAAATGACAGTTCTGCAATACCCCTGCCAGTCTGGTGGTTGCTGCAGGCTTCAGCTTTCCCTCGAGACCCTGAGGTGGGTTGACTGCACCTTATAAAGCGAAGGCAGAGAGGATCATTTGCTGAGATCCGTAGCAGGATGTGATCCCAGTCAAGCCTCAGCAGGGGAGTCACAATATCAGTTGGAAGAGCTTGCCCATCGCTGCTTTGAGCCCCGAACCTTTCGGGTGCTGCACCCCTGAAGCTGGGGAGGAGCTGCGGAGGCGCAGACAGACAACGCAGGCTCTGTCGGCCCTATGCTCTTGCTCTTTCTACCTCTGCCGGGGGAACAGAGGAGACAGCCGGAGTGCCGTGGCAGGCATTTGGGACTCAAGCTGGCTCTGGATGAATAGAGATACGGGGGGCTTTGCATTTAATATTTTAAAGCGAGAGGGAGCGGCGCAGCATGCAGCGCTCGGCTCAACAGGAACAACATGTTATTTACAGGTTGCTGGGCTCTCGCCTCGGGGCCCGTATTTCTCTTTCACTCTCGAGGGACGCACTCCTGGCTCCGGTGGCAATGAGGCACAGGCCACGGGGAGGAGGCTGGCAGCTGGGAGCACAAGTGCAGGACATAAATTAGGGCTCCGTCTGCTTCCCGAGCTCTCTCGGGGATGTAGCTAGCCAGTTCCCGTACACCGGGGAGGGACGCAAAGATCCAGGTCGCTCAGTTGGGGTAGGGGGTGGGAAAATCCCACCCTAAAGCCGGCAGGGCCAGCGTCCATAACCCGGGAGTTTTTGAAAAGTCCTTTGAGGGTCAGGCATCCAAGTCAGTTCTTGCACCCCGTGGGGCAAACAGCCTGGCAGGGCCCAAATTTCTCTTAGTGGTGGAGTTTCCTCCAGACCAGCTTCGGTTCGGGCTGGGGAGGCTTCTGCGTGGAGAGAAGAAAGTAGACACAAATGCAGGCGCTTTACCTCCCGCGGCTCCAGCAAAGCGCCGGAGAAGCCGATGCCTGGCGGAGCGCTGCGCAGGCAGGAGCAGGCATTCAGAAGTGGAGAAAGACTTCATTTTAAAGCTTTTAAGGGAGGATTGAGAAGAATGGAATGGGGCTTTGCTTTTTTTTCATTAAACAGAGCTTTTAAAATAAATAGCTGACAATGTCTCTTATTTGAGTAATTCTTTGCCAGCAATAAATGTCATTCTCAAGTGCTTTATTTAGAAGTGAAAAAATGTGGGTTTTTTTTCCCTTTGTAGAGCGTTCTGCCTTACATCAAGTTACAGGCTGGCAGCAAAATCCCCCTCCCTGCCCCCCTCCCTGCCTGAGACATTCATATTTTCTCCAATAATCTGATCTAGGTTATAAAAATATTTTAAAAAAATAGAGAGACAGCTGGGCTCTCCCACACATCTGACATTTCCCTTTATGCCTGGTTTCACTTTTTTATGGCTGCCTGGGTTTGCTTCGTCGGAGAGTTTCTTCCCTCAAACGAGTTCCATGTTTTATGTTCGAAATCTTCCTTTAGACAAACCTGGTAATTTTTCAAGTTAAAACGTGTCTGTTTTAAGTACTTAGGAAGTTTAAGGATCCCGCTGCTGGGCACATAAATCTGGGTTTATTACTGCTGGAGGCCCCGTGTCTAACTGCTCCCTTTAAAAAAAGGGAAAGACAAAGGAAGGAAAGAAGCTGGCATATTTTTTACTTTAAAGGCAAAACCCTCCCAAAGTGTCAATTTGCTAGGTAATTTATTAGTATCTGCTTATACTTCCAGCCCTTTACGTGCTCATGCCAGTACTTGCGGTTCTTCCAGCATGTACTCATTTAATAGAAAATAAAGACGGGGCTGATTTGGTTTCATTGCTATTTGCTGCATAAAATCAGCCTCTGCAAAGGGACTGAAGGTGCCGATGCCTTCTGCACTCGGAGACGCATCTCGATCCCGCCCATTCAGAGGAGGAGGGGCTTCTGGTGATGATATCACCTCAGCCCCAGCCAATCGGGGCCTCCCGACACAGTTATGCCCTTCACTGGGGAGGCGTTCCTGCAAGCAAGGAAAACTGGGCTGGAGCCATTGAGTTTGGCACTGCATGGGCAGACTTCCCCCAAGCCCATGGGCTCTCAGACTGTGCGTCCCAATTTGGGCTTCGTTGCAAAGTTTGAAGCCGTGTTGCAATCAGCATCCAAAGGATGCGATGCTCTCGGGGGTTTGGGCAAGGATGTCTATGCAATGGCACAACAGGGATGTTCAGCACTTTTCCTATTTACAGCTCATCTGTTCTACCGCCCAATAAGCAGAAACCACCAGACCCCAAACCTTCACTCCACCTGCTCTGCCTTTCTCTCCGGTGGGCTGGGCTACTGCAAGGAACCGAAGAAGAACACAGCCTGTTGTTTGGAAAGAAGAAGGGGGGGAGAAAAACTCAGCTAGACTTGAATTATTTCTCCCATAGCACGGGGTGGGGGGGCGGGGAATCTAACATGCCTTATCGCAGCGCAGAACAAGCGCTCTGCAAATGTGTGGGCCTCTGAGTGGCACGCGGGTTGTTTTCAATAGACGTGTGACATTGTCAAAGAACCTGCCATTGTGTTCCTGAAAGGCACTCGCAACTTTGCATAAAAATCAGCTGC